AGTAGCCTTTAAACTCGTCTTTAAATTTTGAAAAATAAAAACATTGGCTCTACGGCTTTAAATCTCGCGCGGTCCGTACGGGCTCATACGGACCGCTCACGTAGCCAATCAGATTGCAGAAAAGCGTAAAATATGACTTCGGACCGCAAGAAAAAAAATAAATCACTTTATTTTAATTGCTTAAGAGGAGATTTTTTTGTATCTTACGTAACACGCGCTCAAAACTAATGCGTATAATATACCACTTGAGGTTATGACTAAATTCAAAATTTTTATTTTTCGATACGTTTCTCAATCGGCAAACAAACTTAAAAAGTATGTTTAGTATTTTATCTGTAAAATAAATAAATGCTAAAATGAAGAGATTTTAGATGATACGCCAAAGAGAAAGTTATGACTAAAGTTCAGTAAGTTTTGCTTATATGGCTGTAAATATGGCGTCAATTTTAAAGCATCATTGATAATTGTATTTTAATTGACAATTTTTAACTATTATTTTATGTTTCTCATTCTCAACCGGCAGATGCATTTAAAAGGGTTGCTAACTGTATAAACTAGAGAATAAAGCTAAAACAAAGTAATTTTGAGAGGAACGCCAAAAAGATTTTAGGATTTGAACACTTGTCATTGCAAATACGTGACAATGAAAAAAATTGCCTCTTAATAATCATATATAAAGATCGATGATAAGGACAACAGAACATCAGTCCCTTATTAAGCCCCACCAAAACATTACAAAGATTACGTTGAACATACAAAACCACAGAAAAATTACAATTTGTAATCTAACAGGAACAATTAACTAATTGGCTTGCTCAAGGGGTATTAAATGAGATGAATGATGAACAAGGGCTAACAGAGATGAATGGCCATCACTGTTTCAATTTTACAGAAAAACTTCCTTACAAAGTGTAGACCCTAACCAACCAAAAATGTCAAATTTGCACTTTGATCTATCATTGAAACTTTCCCAAGGGGAGGTGCAAAACGACCTAAGGGGCGGGGCGCACCTCCCCTCAAAATCCGGCCATGGCGTGTACTGTATGTTGTACACATACCTTCCATTCTTCGACTTTTGAATTCACAGCTGACAAAATCTGATCATCATTGTCTGTTTTGGATGCAACTTGATCTCGTAGATCTTGGACCTAAAGTAATCCAGTAGTTGTATAAAAAAATTCAACGATCAATTAATGAACTGGCTTATGCGACTACTTTCACACTACGCCACAGCGAAATAATGACGCCAAAGTTTACGCCTGTTCAGTAGTGTTCACACTAAGCTGTTAAAGATTCGATACGGTTTCTCAAAACGAGCTCAAATAATGAAAAAATATGTTAAAAATGCCAAGGTAAAAATAACAAAAAATGCTAAAGTGCAGCACAATAAAGACAATATCGCTGTTCACACGAAGCTACCAAGCGCTCCGTTTCCAAGACATCTCTTCCCATTCCCTCAACTACGTATAGTAAGACCATGTTTGAACTACAGACCTGGGCTCTCAAGACATCTCTCTCTTTCCTCATTTCTTCAACTATACCATCAGTCTGTTGCAAGACTGTCTTCAACTTTGTGTATTCCTCTGTCATTCTGTCCATCTCAATGGCGGAGTCTCGCAGATCAGTACGGACATCTTTTAATTTCTCTTCTAACTCAGCGTTAGCATCTGACAGAGACTAAAAAATAAATTTAAATAACTTCCAGGGCTGCAAAATATGTCAATGAAATTTGTAACGTGAATTTTCCTACCCTTATTTCATCCAGATATCTATTGAGATCTCTATTCTTCTCCGAGAGTTTAGACCTGAGGTCTGTGTCGCCTCCATGTTGAGTCATCAGACTATCACGATGTTGTTCTATTTGACGATGATAATCATTGATGTCTGTCTTGCATCTTTCAACCTTCAAACAAAATACACATGTTGTTATACCAAACTTTTCTCCTTGGAGAACCATCTCCTATTGACCCAGTGTTACTACAGGAGGAAACCTAAACTAAACTAACTTTATTTATACTGGATAACTTTATCAGTTCTAAACTGTTCTGCCTAGAGGTACAGTAAGGATCATCTCTTATTGATCTAGTGTTACTACAGGAGGAAACCTAAACTAAACTAACTTTATTTATACTGGATAACTTTATCAGTTCTAAACTGTTCTGCCTAGAGGTACAGTAAGGATCATCTCTTATTGATCTAGTGTTACTACAGGAGGAAACCTAAACTAAACTAACTTTATTTATACTGGATAACTTTATCAGTTCTAAACTGTTCTTCCTAGAGGT